TCGTCCCCCGGGAGGGTGAGTGGCTGTCTCAGCTCTCTGCCTGTGTTGGCAGCTTTAAATACCCGAGGACGACATGTTATGTTTTCGGCCTGAAGGGGCAAAAGAGAAGCAGCCCTTTCAAAATAAGAATTCCCCCGCTGTTTGTTTCCTTTTGGCACACAATAAGAACAGAGCGAGGACACGATTCTGAGCTGTCAACGCTTCCTCCCTGCTTCCACTGCACCTTCCGTTTGCCAGAAAAAAATTTGCTTCAGTTATACAAGGGTCTAATGAATAGTCAAAGTAATTGTTTAGCTTGGATATAAGGCCTTAGGTAAACAGATGATTGCTTGAGACCGTGGGCCAGTAAAAGCAGTGCAGTAGGACGCCACTCGTTCTGTTCTTCGGACCAGTGGCCTCTGCTCCTCCAGGGACCATGGTTACTGAATGATTTCTCTCTTCCCACGAGCATATTGAAGCAATTTAATATCAGAAGGGGCTCATGAAAGCAGGGAGAAGGAGCAAGAACTTTCTATATGAGAAATACATACTGAGAACATTCGTTTTACCCCATTCAAGCTTTGATTCAATAGAACACTGAAGATACGGAATCTTTGGTTTGTTTGTATTTAACTTTTCATGTTGAAGAATTTCTAAAATGCATTGTTAGCCCACTTACAGTTGTCCTGCCTCCTGCCTCATTAGTATTTTCAATATGATTTCATCCTTCTTCAAAGCAATTAGCTGCCACACCTAAAGGCCATCGTTAGGTTTATGAGTATCTGCTTCCAAGACTATAATAATAGTTACAGAAAGAATAAACACTGCAATGGAACCTTTCGGGTTTTGTAGTTTGTTGTTGTTGCTGTTGATTTGTTTTGCTTGTTTGTTTAGGTATCTTTTCTATCAACATGCTTCACTGTTAACTTGTCTCTTTTTCTCAAAAGTGGGCTGGCATCATAAAAAAATTATCTTAATTAAGAGCTTCGGTAAATTAGGTGCCAGGTCGTTTGAGTTCTGCTAAATAATATTTTTAATAATCGCTTTCCATTTCTCACTTGAAAATAAGAGATGCCTTGTTGATCCAGAGCAGGATTTGGTTGTCTTATTCATGCAGCCCATTTCCACTGAACTGCTATTTGAATAAACAGCATCTATCTGATTGAATCTCAAATCCATCAAGGGGGTAGATTCCCCTGGTATTTAGTTTCCTGGAATCATGATGAATATATATTTGGTTTATGGGCAACTAGCAATCAGAGCATACATTATGCAATAAAAAGTTAATGCTTAACTGTTTATACAGTTTTTTTATCCTGATGCTATAGGAGAATGGTTGGTTAAGAACATGGGGTTTGGAGCCAGTTCTGAGTTTGAGTGCGAGCTCCCCACTCATTAGCTCTGAGCACAGACAAAATATCAAATTTCCATTAGCTTCAGTTTCCTCATCTGTGAATGGTATAATGATAATACCTCCTTCATTGGGTTGTTGGGTAGATGATATGAGATAACACATGTAAAACGCTCCGCACAGCATAAGTATTCAATAATGGTAATCATCATGTTATTTTTCAGGCACCTGATAATTTCCTCACAACAATCCTGTGGGGAGGCGGGGGGGGGGGGAATGCTATATAATGCAAATTTAAATATTAGAAAACTGGACCTCGAAGTAGTTATTGATTTGCCCAAGGTCACCAAGGTGGCAAAATTCTGATCCTCTCAGTAACAAGAGTTTCCTGACTCTCAGCGTATCACCACCGCCCTCCCCCCCTTTACCCGTTCCGCCACCTGGTGCTGTCTCCTCACGATTTCTCTAAATCTGAAGTCTAAATCTAAAGTCATGATGACGGGCCACCTCTGCCTTAGACCCTCAGATGGATAAATGGAATAAACTCTGGAAGAGGCTTTAAAACTCACATTGATATTAGACAGAAATTTTCTGGGAAAATAGTATCTTCAGAACTACAAAGTCAGGATGAACTCTTTGGTAACACTGAGAAGCAAATACTAGTGAGGAAGTGAGTTCCAATTAGTGAGCTTGAAACCCATAGGAGAAGCCCAAAGGGATGACACAACAGGTGAACAAATCCACAAGCCGAGCCAGCTTTAGACCAAATGAAGACAGTCTCATCTCTGCATAGGTTTTCTTTTATTATTATTTATTTATTTATATGGTTGAGCCAGGTCTTAGTTGCAGCAGGCTGGCTCTTTAGCTGTGGCTTGCTGGCTCCCTAGTTGTGGCATGCAAACTCTTAGTTGTGGCATGCATGTGGGATCTATTTTCCTGACCAGAGATCGAACCCGGGCCCCCTGCATTGGGAGTGTGGAGTCTTAACTGCTACACCACCAGGGAAGTCCCAGTCTGCCTAGGTTTTCAAGTGTGTGTCTATCTTACTGTCACTCATAAAATATAAATTCATTCAAAGGCAGTGCTGCATTTGTTGTATCATTTTTAACATGCTGTATTTTCTTGATAAATACTAAAAGCATAGCTTCTATCATGTGGAGGTCTATGACTTTTTTTAAAAACCAGGTGCGCACACTTCATAGCCAAAAATCAATGGTATTGAGAGGAGAGATCTTTGCCTATGAAGTTTAACAACCTAGATTTAAGGACTGGCCCTGCTAATTATAAGCTTAAAGCACCATAAACTCAGGCAGTCAATTAAAGTCAATAGACAAATGTATAAAGAAGACATGGTATAGATACACAATGGAATATTACTCAGTCATAAAAAAGAATGAAATTCTGCCACTGCAGCAACGTGCGTGGGCCTAGAGAATACTATGCTTAGTGACATTAGTCAGACAGAAAAAGACAAAAACTGTATGATATTATATGTGGAATCTAAAAATTAATACAAATGAATGTATATAGCAAAACAGAAAGAGACAGATACAGAAAACAAATCAGTGGTTACCAGAGGGGAGAAAGAAGAGGGGAGGGGAAAGATAGGGTTATCAGATTAAGAGATGCAAAATACTATGTATAAAATAGATAAGCAACAAGGATATACTGTATAGCACTAGGAATTGCTGTCATTATCTTGTAATAACATTTAAAAGAATATAATCTGTAAAAACACTGAATCACTATGCTATACACCTGAAACTAATATAATATTGTAAATCAACAATACTTCAATAAAAAATAATAAAAGTTTAAACATACATAAAGTCAGTCTACTGAGTGCCTTTAAGGGGTCTGAGTCCTGAGCTGGGGCCAGTAGGGTGAATAGCAATCGTTCGCCCTCTTTTCCGAGCCTCTATTTTCTCACCTATAAAGTAAGGGTAATAATATGACTCTCCTCACAAGGCTATTGTGAAGATCCAATGAGAAAAACAAGAAAATAAATATACAGTGATGTTTGTGAAAGTGCTTTGTAAACTCTTTAGAGAGTTATAAACATAAGGTGTTGAAGACAACTCGAGGAGAGGAAAACTCTTCAGCTTTTTCTGGTGGCTTTCCTATAACTATTGACCATCCAGCCCCACGAATTTATCAAATACTAGCATTCTCTTCTTAAATGTCAGATTATATTCATATTTTTATATTCATATTTTTAACTGTACTTTTCCGTCTCTTCTCTCCTCCTCCCACTTTACTGTGTTCCATAAATTATAATGTTCTTTAATATCAATATGGCACTACAGTATCAGATTATACAAAACATTAAATAAAGCATCAGTATAAAATTCAAAGCAAAGAATAGCCCAAGGGCTCACAGCTTACAGTTTACAAGCCCATGTGTACACAAGGCCCATCTGTGAGGGGTATTTTAAACACTGTCAGTTGCATGGGTTACAGCTGATGGAGATCTCATCCAGGCTCTGGTTAACTCCAGGAGTTAATGAGAGAAGACTGTTCCTGCTCTGTACTCGTAGGCTGAGGCCCTAGTGCCACCTCTTGCCTGGAAAAGAGTGGTTTATGGAAGTGGAGGCATCACTCTTGGAACTGAAACCTTCCCCAATTCAAGTCTTCTGGAAATACATTAGGTCTACTATATTTTTACCTCTCTTCTGATTCCGTATTATATGTACTAATTGGTGAATTTGGTCATTATATCTATTCTTGTTAATAGAAGACATTCACTTAGAGTTTGCTGAGTACCAGACAACACACAAAGCACTACAGAGAAATGCAAAACACATAATATGCATTATCCCTGCCTTGCAGGATTGTAGAAGGAAGTAAAACCAGCATTTATTTCCAGGCAGCAAGTGTTATTTTAGATTCTCCAACCAATGACACCTTGAAGTGAAGCAACTGAGGCCCAGAGAAATACATTTTCTAAGATCACACAGCTAGCAAGGGTCTGAGCCAGGTTTATCCAAGGTCTACCTTGTTCTGAAGTCCACGTGAAACCTTTCCACTCAACTTCACTACTTTCCTTAATCAGGGAAAGTGAACACAGACATTAAAGGAAACCTACAAATGAATAAGGACTAGAAATTCTACAGACTCATAAGTGCAAGGGAGACTGAGGGTCTAAAGTATCCGGAGCTAGACTGGCCCTGATCTGAGCAGATTCTCAAGCAGGTCAATGAATGATACAACCTGAGAAACAAGTAAGGTGGATGCCAGCCAGAAAAAAAAACAAAACAAAACTGTGCTGGAACCAAGAAAAATAGCACTGTGGGCAATTAAAACTTCTAATTAGAATAAAAGCTATAATCCCAGCACACCCTCCAGATTAAGATGCTTCATCTTTATGGCACTAGGAAGAATAAAAAGGACTATGGAAACCTTGTAAGTTACCAAAATTTTCACAGACCTATCTTCCCGGCAAATATAAAGGAGTGCTGCTTCATTTGTTAGAATATTGCCAAGTTCATTACACTCAGCATTCATTAAATATCCCTTCCCACACAGCGCTCTCTTAAACAAGGTGAATGGAATCATTTTTCCCGTTATTTGGTGTAGGTTCCAGTGACATAAGTGGGTAAGAGGATTTACAGAGGAAAAGTGAATACACTTGGCAACGTTTTCAAACATTTGCTTGGATTTTGTTTTCTAGGAGATGTACGACTGAGGGGTCAGACGGGGGTTCCTGCTGAACGCCGCGGCTCCTACCCATTCATTGACTTCCGCCTCCTTAACAGTGAGTAATCAAGTGTACCTGGAAAGGAACAAATGTTTCCTTGAAAAAAAAATTCTCATTTCCCTCTGAACTTCAAAACCCTTGGAGGTCCGCCTTCCTTCCTCCATCTCTCCCTGCCCAGTTGCAAATTAACCCTTGGTCTTTAGATTTCCTTAGTAGTGAAGTCATTCGGGCCCTGCCCTACCTCACAGAGCTTCAATGAGGGTCCAGTGAAATCACGCCAGCTTTAGAAATGTAAATCTTGAAAACAGTGAAGCCTGACACGAGGAAGCTATTCCTTTCATTATCCAGGACCTTCTCTCCACCTTCAGCCGGGACTAGACTAGAGGAGATTCTATTTTATTTTTAAAACCCCACAGGGTAACCTATTGTACAGCTGCCCTTAGTAACCATCCATTATCTAATTTTACTTTCTTTGTCTAATCTAAGTCCTGAGGTGAGTTCTTGCATCCCTGGTAAAACGCTTCACCATGGCGAAGTCCTTTCAGCCTGCACGTGCTGCTGCTTCCTCCAGCATGACTGCTTCAGAAGCTCATTTATTTCTAACTTTCCCCTTCATATACTATTCCTCCTTTGGAGATCTGCTCAACCTCTGGTTCATAATTCTCTTAATTTCAGGTTCCTTTGGAAACCCAAACCAGTACCAGTCACCCCTCCAGATTTCATGTCTTCTAGCTATCACAATCATCCTTCACTTGGGACTTGGGGGTGGGGAATGAAGAAAATGGATAAATTTCACAACTTGCTCCAAGGTTTTCGGTATGTGGTTCTCATAGCACTTCCCATCCATAAATTTCAAAGTGCTGGGTTGTACCCACAAAATATTACATTCCTTTGGCATAAATGAGTTCAACTCAAGAGGTAATTTGATTTACCTTGACCCCCGAAAATTACTAGGAGAAATTGGAACTTGCTATTTCTGATCCTTAGATCTGCCAAAGGCCAGTGAAAGATGGACGTGTGTATTTCTCCTGGTTTGTCCACTTCCCATATCACTGTGCAGTATCTGTTTTTTCAGCTCTTTCAGAGACACAGGGATTCGGAGTAACTCTTTTCATACTAGAGACAACTTCCCCCACCCAGACCCAAAAAAATGCATTTTAGAGGATACAGTCAAGTTCCTAGACTAATGCAATATTGGTTACAGCCTATGGGGAGCTCTGATGGTGTCTCTTACCCCGCCTTATAACCCTGAACGCGTTGTTCCAGCTACCCATGGAAGTTATCCTTTTGACAGCCCCTAGCCTGTATGGATTTCCAGGTCCTAGCCATATGGTCCCACCAAGCAGTGCGGGGATAAGCAAGGGTCCAATTCACTGTCTCATATAGACCAGGACTCTCAACGGCATCACATACCTAGGGTCAGAGGCAGAAAATAACCAAAAAGCCTCTTTTCAACAGTAAATGAGATGTTATATCATGGGTCCTAATATACGCCATGAACAAATTAGGAAAATAGGAGACATTTCTCCTTAAAATTCCAAGGTTCCAAATGATAAACTTTTTTGGTTTATCTTAGTGTTAATGAGCAACATCAGCTACTAATGATAGTTATCCTTGCAGGTGGGATCATGGAATATTTAACTGTCCACATCTTAGGTTTCTGTAACGCTTGGATTTTTTTTTTAATACTTTGTTTCACTTTTTAAGCTGAAAAAAACTGGAAATTATAAAAATTTGAAGAGAAACTCAATGCAGATAATACTTCGCTGTTATATTATTCACAGCGTAATATCAGATCACCTGTAAGCAGGTGCCATCCTGTCATCTCTCTGCCGTAGGTCCTCCAGGAACTTCCTGGTACCTGGACTCAACACTAGCCTCCTTCCCCTGACTCTCTGCCCTCCAGCCCCATTTCACCTTGCCTGTTGCTCGTGACCTCCCACCCGCCGAGTGACAGTGTTGGCCATCCATCCTGTAATTCCCTTTCTCCTCTGCTCAGCACTCCACTCTGGATAACTCTTTCACTTGTATTTCTTTATCAGTAACATATGCTAAGGCAATAATAATTTGCCTTCACTGTACTTTGTTTTCTAAGTGGTCTCAATTTTTTTTCCTCTATACAGAAAACCACATCCCAAGATAGACTACAAGATCCGAAAGGATATTCTCTTTAGAGTTATTGACATCTTAGTAACTCCTGTTAACTGACCAATTAAAGGGTCCCCTTGAAAAGATTATATTAAAGAATTATAAATGTCAATCATCCTCTTCATTTAACCAAACAAATCAGATAGAACTGAAGCCCTCTGAGATTTTTCCTTATTTGTGATACTACCCATTCCATTGTCTAGAACCAGTGACATTACTGTGGTCACTCTCCACAGTTTCCTTAGTCTACAGTTAAAGCAGATTGTCACCAAGTAGCAGCAGATGTGTGCATATCTATGTTATATAGAGTCACATAAGATATAATACATGTGTCACATCTCCTACTGCCTTATCATATACAGTCTACTTAATTCTCTTTGATCTCTTTCATGTCCTTGCTGTGGTTTGCCTGAGTTGTTAGTGTGTGCTTTCTGCCTAAAGGGAAACATTTTAAATATAACTTTATAAAAAATTTGAAATAAACCCCTGAGAATATTTTGAGACTTCCTCCTAAAGCTTTTAGTTTTACCAGCTGATTCCAATTCTACGTGATAAGTGCCAAACTAAAGTGATTTTTAAATGTAATTTACCTTAATTTTGAGTCAGTTTTTTCCAAGAATAGGCACAGACACATTTTCCTCAGGTGCTTGCAGTTCTGTACACTCTCCCAAGGTAGAATCTCATCTAGGACTTTTTTTAAAAAAACGTTTGTACGAAAAACTGAATCACCATAGCCTCTCTTCCCTGTGTCTGCATCCCTACAGCATTCTTCCTAAAAGGCTTTCTGAAACCTGCATGGCTGCCATTCCCTGTCCAAAGTGTCCCTGATGGCTTACCCTCTACCACCCACCTCAGCTATGCCTTGAATGGCTGAAACATGCCTAAGCAAAAATGTACACTAAGTAGTAAGACCCATTGTACTTCTCCATGGGCCCCATTAGCCACAGCCCCCAACCTGTCCCAACAGGACAGGAGACATCAGAATTCATATCTAAAATAACTTTCCTTCTATCAGAACACAGTCTCTAGATATTCAAACAGAGAACTAGAACAAGGATGGGCAAACGACAGCTAATGCACCAAATCTGTGTCCCTACCCTGCCTGTTTTTGTCAACAAGATTTTATTGGAATACAGCCATGCCTATCCATTTATATATTGTCCACAGCTACTTTCACCCTACAACAGCAGAGTAGTTGCAACAAAGACCATATGGCCCACAAAGCCCCAAATACTTAGTATATGGCCCTTTACAGAAAAAAAGTTACCAACGTTTAAGTTAGATTTTTAATCAGGGTAAAAGAGTTTATGACATCAATATAGGCACATTTAGTCCAGTCTGTTTTCCTTTGTTAATGTCATATTTTTTTTCTTTTCAATTCCCAGTGCCATCACGTTACATTAAGAATGGTCTCACATTAACAAAACTTACATGCAGTAGAAGTATAAACAAAAAGGGAAACTCCTGCTGATCCAGATTTTAAACTCCGCAAGTATAATTTCTAAATGCACAAATTTTTCTTGCAAGAGGTGCTCCTTTCCCCATATTCTGTGAGGGCATAGTACTACCATGCCCATGTACCTGTCATCTACATTTAAGGTGACAATATATACCTGGTTTGCCGGAGATAGTCCTAATTTACACCTGTTGTCTAGGCATACCTATTAATAATGCCACTTTTCAACTCCCAAAACATCCTTATTTGGGCAATAAATTACAAGGCCAATGGATTGTATGGTTTTTCCCCCAAAAAGTACTCTGAGACAACACCCCTCCTATGTCACATGCAATCTGAGAATAAAGATCAGAAAATCCTCCTCATAAGAAATTCATCCAGATCAGTAGAAACATGTGGGATAAAATTACTTGTTAATAGCCAGTTTCATGTCCTATTGATATTTCATACAATTTAGAAAAGAGGCATCTATGTGAATTTCTAGAAGCTTCTCTGGATAAGTAGCAGGAAACTGTGACTTCAGCACCATTGTGTGGGACACAGGAATTATAGACTTTTAAAGAAGAGAGTCATCTTTATCTCTAAGCATGGAGGGGCAGAACAGAATGTGAGAAAAGGGTGACAGTTATTTTTAATCCACATGAGGTTCTAAAACAGAGAACTGGAGGAAGGGCAGGAGGGATGGGAATGTAATGGCTCATCTTATCCCCATGCTGATTTCCTACATACTGACTTCATTTACTGACTTTCTTTGGGGGGAAACAAGAGAGGGGAAAATGTAGAGGAGTGTTCGGAGAGACGGGTGGCCAGAGATGAACGTCGCAGAAGCAATTACAGTTTCTGCAGAGCAGGTGGCTCCAGTGACCCCTGCTACATCTCTGTCTCCTGGCTTAATATAATCAGGAGCCTGAGTAGATAATGACTAGGTGGAGATGTTCCCGTGGCAACCACTTCAGAGCAACACGATGTGATTTCCACACTGGCTCAGCAAAGGAAGTGACATACAAAACAAACATGCCCAGTGACTGTGGAGCTTGAGAGAAAGAAGGAGCATCAGCTGGAGGTTTTAGGGCACCAGATATCAGCTGCCACAGAGAGCCTGGAGCTCGAGACCAGCCCCGGGGCTGTGCAATAGTAGGTTAATTGGCTATTTGGCTTTTCCTGTCAGTTAATTTGCTAATCTTGATGTTTAAAGTTCTATTCCTCCAGATCTGCCTCTCCAGGCAGGGCCATTTTAGCTGCACAAGCATGAGGTAATTTTAGTAGCACTACCAAAATATTTTCCTTTGATCGTTATTTCCAACATAGAATATTTGCAAACATATATATATTGACCTTTTTATGAAGAATTGACCCAGAGACTCAAATCCTTTTTTTTTTTGTTAATGCTTTTTGAAAAGCTTCCATCTAAACACATTACACGTTGCAGAAATATAAAATACATTCACAAAAT